AAGGACTTGCATCGCTAAAGTTTCTTCGGAAAGAATTTGTACGGAAAATTAACTAACGACCAGAGACGTAACAGTATATAATATCAGCAAATTTAGAAATATTTTTATTATTAGCAAAAACGTTATCCAAAGTGTTGGCATAAATAATTAGCAACTAAGATTCCAAAAAAGGCATTACTAGTTACATTCCTCAGTGAAAATTTTTCTTATTTAACATCATTTGTTGCTTTTTACCTCTAAGCCATTCTTCATAAACTTTTAACATTTACACTAACTTTATGAACACTCAACTTGTATACTGAATTTTTGTGAAACATCTTATCAATTTTTCTGAGAATCAAGATACACAACATCAACTGGGGATAAGCTCATTAACAGGAAACAAATAACAGAAGCTCTATCGAAAAAAAGATTCAATAAGGTTAGAAAACTTTCAAACCATGCTGAAACGTATTTAAATGTCAGTTTTCTTATATATTTTATTTATTTACATGCACCGGCCAGATAACAAACTTTCTTTTCTCCAATTGTTACAGCAAATAGGTCAGTGGACAGTGTAGCATTGTACACCCCCCCTCCCCTAATTCTAAACCATCAACCATAAGGAGGCAACTGCCTGGCAATAACTATTTTTATTTTATATCTTATTATTATAAATTATTGAATATACCTTCTTTTTTTATTATAATTATTTTTTTTTCGAGCTATCACGCCTAGATGGGAGCATTCTAAATAGAGGGCGATTGACTAATCTCTGCGTGGTTTCGTAAACTTTAGGTCTTTATACTATCCTATACTGTAGTAGCGAGATAATCGATTATTATTATTTTTTGGTAATATTCAGATACTTTTTAATTAAAGAAAATAATTGTAAAGATAATATTACTAGGCTTGATGGAGTTATCTGGTAAACAAGATGATTCAAGTTTGTCTTCTAGTAATAATAATAATATTAGGCCTAACAGTAACACCGGCATTACGAATAGGGAAGAAAACATCATCATGGACAGTTCCTCAAGGTCTTTAAGTTTAAGTTCAAGAATTAGAAGACCTCAGGCTCAAGTTCATGCTATTGTTAGAGGGCGACCTAGGTATAATTTTACTGGAAGACATATGTCTGGTGTATCATCCAATAGTGAAGGATTAGATAACTTGTTGAACAATGAATACAGGAAAATATGTCGACAAATAAATCAAGCCAAGAAACATATTGAACTTTTGAGAGAGAAAATGAGAAATATAAAATGTCTTTTACGTAGAGCAGAAAATCATAAAAATCATGCTTTTCGATACAGCATGAGCCTTGAACTTTCTACTGTCAGTGGAATGGAAATGATGTATGGATATTTTATAAACCAGAAAAGGTTTGAACTACTTCGTCTTCGAGGGCTTAGATATTTGCAAAACCACTTTCCTGATCAAAGACTTTCACAATCAAGAAATATAAATCGTGTTGCTACTGCTGTAACTTCTAGTAATGTTACACAAGTTGACTTAGACATGCCTGGAATTCTCTCTCTTCATGAAAGTATTAATAATGTCCATAACATTACAAGTAGTGAAACTGAGAGCTTGAGTTCTGATGAAGCTCATAATGTTACTGGACCAAGAATGTATAGTGATACTAATATTAATAGTTTGAGTGCTGATGAATCTTACAGTAGTGCTAGACAGAGTATCAATGCTATTACAAGCAGTGACAGTTTAAGTACTGATGAAACTCATAGTGGTGATAGAGGAGGTATTTTTACCATTACTAGCACAGGTAACTTAAGTACTGATGAAGCTCATCATGTGGTTAGTCCTTCATCAACTGAGATGGACAACTGAAGCACAAAAAGGTGCAATTATTGAAAGAACACAAGTGAAATGTATTATAAATGAGGTTATATGTAAAGATAGTTTAGAGCCTGAGCAGCATTATAATTTATATCTGAGTGATTATAACATTTGTAACATCCATTTACTGTTAATATAAAGTTCAATACATTTAATTTAGTACTCTCTCACTTTATATCAGTGCTGCAATGAAGGTTAAACTTATCTTTTTTGTATATTAATTGTGTTTAGATCTTATTGATGTTTACAGGATTATTTGGGAGATTAATAGGGTAAAGGACTACTTTGTGTCATATCCCTAGGATAGTATGAGAAAACAAGTTTAAGAATTGGTAAAGCCAAGCTAAGCTCCAGCTAAAACGTGTTTTTTCCACAAAAGTAATTAGCTTATGGTATGAGTTACTCTCAGCAGTAGTAGGGGCTGGAACTTTATAATAGTTAAGATTTTAAAATTGGAATCAATTATTTCCAGAAAAAGTAAATGTTGGGTTTAAGCTTTTGTTTTTTCACAAGGATGAGTGTGTAAGGACAGCCTTGAGGGGTCAGGTGGTTCAATGCTGTCCATATGTTGAATAAAAGTTGAAATTGTAAAGAAATATGAAGCTGAATCTATCATTTCATTCATCAGTTATCACTGTGTTATACCTGTATAACTCCGTGATAAGTGGTGAATCAGATATTACATTTGTCCATATTTCTGGTATTTTAAATAGCTCATTTGCTGAGTAATTCAAGTATATAAGTTAGTAACAGAAATGCTGCAGATTTGTAAAATTCTGTTGGTTTACTATGGTGAGCAAAATATGACTTGAAATACCATGCATATATGCTTCACTATAAGAAACTTAGTCTTTTTTATTTTTTCTTGTCCTGGGTTACTGAAGTTAATGGAATTCCCTGATACTGGTATAATTTAGGGACAAGAAGTGAATTTAACCATATATTGTGTTTCATATCTATTTTTAGTATTTGAATTAAACATCTTGTCTGCTGAATAACTTAAATCATTAATATCAATGCTGCATGTTCTTTAAATCTTGTGTAATTATGGGGACACTGGTAGGAAAGCATCATAAAGCTGAACTATAGATATATATAATTATAGGGACACTGGTAGAAAACCACATAAATCTGAACTATAGATATATATAATTATAGGGACACTGGTAGAAAACCACATAAAGTTGAACTATAGATATATAATTATATGGACACTGGTAGAAAACCACATAAAGCTGAACTATAGATATATATAATTATAGGGACACTGGTAGAAAACCACATAAAGCTGAACTATAGATATATAATTATAGGGACACTGGTAGAAAACCACATAAAGCTGAACTATAGATATATAATTATAGGGACACTGGTAGAAAACCACATAAAGCTGAACTATAGACATATAATTATAGGGACACTGGTAGAAAACCACATAAAGCTGAACTATAGATATATAATTATGGGGACACTGGTAGGAAAGCATCATAAAGCTGAACTATAGATATATATAATTATAGGGACACTGGTAGAAAACCACATAAAGCTGAACTATAGATATATATAATTATAGGGACACTGGTAGAAAACCACAAAGCTGAACTATAGATATATGACAATAGGGACACTGATAAAAAACCACATAAAGTTGAACTATAGCTTGACACATCACTTGTTTGTTTCTGGATATTTTGTGGGTAAATTTACATCCCTATATTCAAAGTACATAAGTTATATAAATTGTATGCATGATTGCTGGATATATAGTAAAAGTATTTATATTGCCAAGAAACATGCATAGAAACTTGTTTAGTATATTAAGTGTGATGATAATGAATATTGACAGATAAAATGGATGAATATACGAGTCTTAATCTAAAAAAGATTCATTATGTCAATAGTATTTAGATTCTTAAAACCACTAATATACAAAGTATCAAGTATTTAGAAGTGATTTAATTTTAGCATTTGTTTCTTTTATATTTTGTAAGTTATTCAACAGATGCTATTAAGAATGTAGAACACATGACGTCTGCACAGTCTAATAATGATCACTAGTTTGTCAGTAGTAATTGTTTACTACCAGAAGAGATCAGTTTTAGACTGTTGATTTTTTGCCAGTCTACACAATACACACACACTTTGCATATCGAAATGTATCTTAGTTTATATAAACTGAACAACCAGTCTGTATGTCTTGGATGAAATAAATGTGTTTCTTACTTCAGATGGAACAGTAGTGATACCAGAACAAATTCTAATTTACTTTCATTGATAAATGTCAAGTCAGACAGGTTAGAATATTTTGCTTTAGAAAGCTGTACATTGATTAAATAAATGTCAGAAACTGAACCTATTAATTCATTAGGTGAACTGGAATAGCAGATAGATTCAAGAATAATAAATTATGATAATTTTAGCAACTTTCACTTGGAAATTACTCTGTTTGCCTTGTACATACAACATTTTCACAATACGTTGTCAAAAAGTGAACATGAATTGGAGTGAATTGATAGTTTTGAAATCCTGGTTTGACCTGCTCGATAGGTTTAACTCAAACCATAATTACAGTTCTCCTCAGGTCATCACATAGATTTAAAAAGGAAAGGCTTTACCATTTACAGCAGTAATGTTATTCCACTTTCAAGGCTAAATTTCAGTTCAGTTTTTTCAGCAATAGTATATCCAAGTTTTTATAATTTGAAATTTCCTAGAGTTTGTCAAATGTAGCAATGTGAATAGCTTCACTCTAATATCTGTGGCAATACAAACAGCAACAGCATGACTGAAAACTTAAGCAACCATGCTTTTTTGAGATTATTTTAAATATTTGTTTAAAAGCTTAGAAAATTTTTATATTACATTTATTTGTTTTCATTATGAACCATGAATGGCATTTTAGTAGATAAACTTTCTGTCTTAAAAGATAAATGGTCTTTGATTCATGATTTCAGATTTATTACACTGACTTTTAATATCTTCAATTTTATTAGTATGTTGCTTGCACAGATCTTCCAGAATAATTGGATACAGTGGACTACTACTGAGAAATAATGTTTGGCTGTTACTACTTCATGGCTAATCTGCTAACTATAAAGGCAACTGTATGGTTAGATAATTAGTTTCTTCTAAAGTACTGAAATTCTCTGAACTTTTATGGTCTTGTCTAGATTATTATATGGAATTAGCTATGTTATTTACAGAGTTATTATTTAGTTCTAGGTAGTAAGCTTCAATCAGAAGTTACTGAAAAGTTACTTTCATAGATTAGATTTGATTGACATTTTGTCAGATATAAGAAATCTACAGACTGGCTTTCTATAACGTAGGAAAAATATTGTGCAACAAAAAAGACAGAAACGAAGAGTACAGCAACAGTGGTGTATACCAATTAACATGTCAAATCTGCAATAGTGTATACGTAGGTCAAACAGGATGTTCCATAGAAATGAGAATTAAATAGGTGGAAGCTAAGGAAAATGGATTCAACCTTTGCAACCCACCTTATTGAAACTAAACACCAATTTGATCCAGAAAAAAAACTACAAAATTTTACACATCTGTGAAAAAGGTAAAAAACTAGACAGTCTGGAAATTTTAGAATTATATAGAAGTCTAAAAACAAATTCAGAAAAAAAAATTCTAAATGACCAAACCAACTTAAGCTCCACCCCACTTGTCTCTAGGTCAATGTCTAGGGTCACTTCCAGTTCTATGTTTAAACATATGTATAAACCCTGTTACAAAACATTTCAGTCTGTACCTAATGATGCCTTTACCGGTGAAACCGTGTTTGTGATTATATTACGTATTTGTGAAATCACAGTTGTCTTGTTTTTCCTCAATTCTATAATTATGGAGTTTCACCAAGTATCAATGGTTTCAAGTATTAATTATATATATTATGTATTGAGGGTTGGGTATGCTTATGCATCCATTTCTAATGTGGTAAGCATAATTGCAACAAAATGTAATAATGAAACAGTAGCAAACATTTGTTAGTGTTATTACATAACATAAAGATGCAACATACGAGTAATAACGAAGTTTCAACGATTTTTTCCTCCATCTGTATGGCAGTCAGTCTTATCAAAATTGTGTCTGGTGTTACATAATGTACAGTCTGAATAACATTGTCCACAAAGACTGTCACAGTGATTTATGGTGTACAGTTCAGTTTTGAGAAATATAATCATTAAAAAAGTTTGAGGAGGGAGGGTGAAATCCAATTATCAGAATAGCCATAGTAGTGATCTTTCATAACCAAACCACCATCAAGTAAACTCTACATCATAATAGTTTCTGGCTACAAGGGAGATCATCCAATTGAAAATGCATTTCATTGGTTAGTATCTCTTGCACATTTATATCGGGGAGCTGTAGGATTATCAAGAACTCTTCATCTCTAAATTGACCTCAACCAGACACTAAGGGCCAAACATTTTGGCTTGCAACCATCATTGGAGCTCTAGTATGTTCTAATGTTGGACAACCATCATTGGAACTCTAGTATGTTCTGTTGTTGGACAACTGTCATTGGAATTCTAGTATGTTCTATTGTTGGACAACCATCATTGGAACTCTAGTATGTTCTGTTGTTGGACAACCATCATTGGAATTCTAGTATGTTCTATTGTTGGACAACCATCATTGGAACTCTAGTATGTTCTGTTGTTGGACAACCGTCATTGGAATTCTAGTATGTTCTGTTGTTGGACAACTGTCATTGGAACTCTAGTATGTTCTGTTGTTGGACAACCATAAAATCATTAACTTTCCAAGAGCCACCAGTTAGTCTAACAAGTACAGCAAACATTCTTACATTTTAACAATTACAGACTTACTTACCTTAGGGTTTAATCCCTTGAAGTGGGAGTGCTGAAAATTTGCAACTTTTTCTGTGAATGTACAGTATGCCTTCTAACAGTGTTGGCATATTAAATATACATATCATTTATTATACATTTAACTATAGTATCATAAATTTCCTCTATTAAAATTATTTGAAGTTTCATGTGAGTGGAAGAGAAAATCAACACAATTGCCACACCAGGGGTACTGAATGGTATCGTCCAGCATTAGAACAAACTAGAGTTCCAATTAACTTGTTTTAAAACAGTACATTTTAGTTTTAATGGATTAATCTGTATTGAATTGTTTTACCTAGTGTTTTTATTTAGAGATCTAGGGATTGTGGGAAATTTACCCATCCAGAAATATTTTGATTGACAAGCCAAATAGTTCCCTTTTATTACACATACAGGATATACTTTTAGCTTTCCTATTATTTACAGAATAAACCTCAGTAAATGTGAAAAACATGGAGTGTCATATTTAATCAAAGTGATTTTAATATATATGTTGTCAGGATAATTTACTGGTTATCTCTTGGCTTAAGAATTGGCCACTGTGGTCAAATTGGACAGATTTCTATGTTTAGCTAACTCTCCAATGCCATTTTTGCACTAAAACAGTCATGTTAAATGCCAGAAATTACATATGCAATGCTTTTTAAGTTATGGCCATCATTTACGGGCCAGTTTTAACATACAGTGAAATAACCTCTTAAAGCTACACAAATTGTCTCAATATGAGTTATTAACATTCTGATTTACAGAGTTAGTCTGTTAGAAGTTTCTTGAAATATTCCATGTTGGTTAATGCTATATTTGTAGTTTAAATATGTTACAGTGTATTAAGAGTATAAATTTATGTGTGAGGTAGATGATATTTTTCATATAATATTTCTTTAATGTTTTGAATTAAGTCAGCAAACTACTATAAAACAGGGGTTGATTTTAACATATAACATCAAAGAACAAAAAGAGACCTTTTAATCTATCTGGGTTTTCCTATCCACTAAATTAAGCTAACTCCCCCCCCCCCTCCAAATGTCTCGAAGCCAACCCTTATCCTTCACATTGTTATGAAGCTTTCTCTTAATATCCTTTAAATTAACTATATCCATCATATCAGAGGGCTACCTGTTCCAAAGGCCAAACACCATGTTAGAAAAAGCTGTCTTAGCTGAAGCAGACTCCTACTCTGCCCCAATTTATATTTGTGTCCCCTAGTCTTACCATTCTTAGTATTAAATATGAAAAAAAAGATGATGCATCAATTGTCAATCCCCTTAACAATCTTAAACACCTCAATTAGATCCCCTTTAATTCTTCCCTTTTTTAAAAGAAAATAAGTTCTGAGATCTTAACCTGTCTTCATATGAATACCTTTCCATCCCAGGTATCATCCTAGTAGCCTTACTCTGAACCCTTTTCAACAATTCATTGTTCTTTCTGAGCTAAGGAGTACAAGGCTAAATACAATACTCCAAATGTGGCCTAACCAATAACCTATACAATGACATTATAACATCTTTTGACTTGTATTCAGTATTTCTGTAGATACAACCTACAATCTTATTTGTCCTACTACAAGCAATAGCACATTGCTTGGATGGCTTAAGAGCCTGATCACCTAGAGTGCCAATATTGTTTTCATCTTAATACTGTTAATAAAGTTATTCCCATCAAAATTATATTCATATTTCAAACTGTGGTATCTCACATGCATTACCTTGTATTTATTATAATCAAAAGTTGTCTGCCATTTATTTGCCAAGTTGTCCAAATCCTTTTTAATGGCAGAGGCTTTCTTCTCACAGCCAGTAACCCTGAAAACTTAAAAGTCTTAAGGAGATTTATATAATCTATTGATCATTTCTTCATCTATGTCAATGATGTAAATTAAAAAAAGCACAGGTTCTAACACTGAGCCCTGAAGTACCCCACTAGTGATATTGACCCACTTTGACTGTACACCATTTATGACAACCCTCTGCTTTCTTTCATCTAGCCAGTTTTCTATCCAGTGACCCATCCTATTCCCCAAACCTACAGAGATAATTTTTAATAAGACTTTTATGTGGCACTTTGTTAAATGTTTTCTGAAAATCCAAATACTCCACATCTACACCCTTACTCTCATCAAAATAAACAGTAACCTCTTCAAAGAATGTCAGAAGATAAGTAAAAGATTTTCTCATAGTAAAACCTCACCCTTGGTGACTCAGAGGTCCGTCTAAGGGCATTAATACTTAAAATTGGGTTTCGATACTCGAACTTTATATAATAAAATAGTTCATTGTGTAGGTGGTTAATAGCCAATAGAACTAAATCGAATCCTTTCACCGTAAGTTATGAAAGAAAGTCATGATGATGCACTAGCCC